ACAAACCAACAGAGTAAGTACCGGTGCGTCTCGGGGTCTGGGTGGCGGTCAGCGCGACTCTACGCAGGCAGAGCAGTTTGAGGAGGGGGGACGTCTGCTGGTTGAGCTGGCTCAGCTCTCTTTTAGCCCGAGACAAGTTTATGCTGCAGAGACAGAAGAACGGGGGACAGACGATGGGTCAGAGACATCGAACGGACACATTCACAAAGCTTCAGAAGCTCGGGCTAAAGGAAGGAAGCACACAGCTAAACAACAGATTCAATTTACAAAACAGAGACAGAATCAATCACACGGTGCACTGAAACAAGTCCAGGACGTATTTAAAAACAAGTCTGATATAAAATTTGACTTCATAAACCATGAACACGTATCGTCTTTGTCTATGTAAGCTGTTGGAAAACTGCCACGATCAGGTCCATGTAAACGTTGAAGGCATTTTGCACATTTAAACATCGTCTATAACGTGTTCAGAACAGCAAGCGCTGCTTAAACCTGTCAGCAGAACCAGATTTGACGCTGCACAGAGGTCTGGGTCTCAAAGGCCGCTCCGGTGTGCAACTGACCTGAACTCGGGTTTGACTCCCAGCTCTTTCTGCTGCAGCTCCTGCAGACTCCTGGTGGTTTTGTTGAAGGCAGCGTCCTGTCGGGAGAGGAACTTTTGAAACTGTCAAAGCCTCTTTTTGGGGTCATCACAGTAATAAAGAGCATGAAGGAGAAATATTAAGAGCTGCAATAAGGCTTCCGTCACTGAAACAACGATCCCTCTGCAAAGACAAGTGATCCCTGCAGACTGTGTGTTTGATGTTATATCTGCAGCAGCAAAAACACCAGAGTGATGTGTGTTTATGCAGGAGGCACGTGAGCAGATCTCTCAGGATCTGGTGGAAGCGGACGAACAGACGGTTTATTCGCTCCCTCGTTACGTCTAATGAGTAAATCTGAGCTCAGACCTACCTGGCTGGCCTCAAGCGTTCCCACAAAGTTAAAGATTAATTCATGGATACCATGATGAACGTACATCTGGGAAAAGAAGAGGAAAACCAATGTTTTCATACATAAAGCAGGAAGTTATGTGTGACAGCTGTGGGAGCTCCTGCATGTGTTTGATGAAATCTGACTTTCTTGCAAACTTAAACGTCTACGAGTGAACCCAGAGAGACGTTACCTCCACAGCCTGTTTGAGGAGCGTCATCTGAAGCTCCTGCTTTGCCAGAAGTTTCTGCAGAAAACACAAAGCATGCACGGGAAGAGGAAGGAGTTAGAGGATGTGATCAGGCCCAAAACTGCTGAGTCGCAGACGCCGCGGCCACATATCATCGAATCATCCAGTCCAGAGGAACTCGCAGCACATCCTGCTTGTGCGTCAGGTCAGAGGTCACGCTGATTAAAGGAAGCTGATTTGAAGCATTAGTTACGGCGATGATGTTGCACCAGAAGGCTTCCTCTGTTTACGTGCAGTTTCACTTCATTTCCCACAAAGAGGGAAGCGCAGACTGCATCGAGGTCACAAATGCCTGAATTAACAAAAGCAGGACTTTTCTGAACTACAGCTGCCGACTCAGTACGGCCCGCGCTTATATGCAACACTCACATGAGCTTCTTCTGCAGTAAAAAG